GATATATCTAATTGCCTTTGAAACAGCTGTTTATACTCACAGATTACTGCTGTCATCAGTCTCTAATATAGAGGGTAAGACTGCTCTCTACCACCCCCACAAGTGAGTACTGCACAGACTGATACAAGCTGCTGAGAGTAACTGAGTAGAATTAAATAATCCATCTCTTTTACCCCTTCAAAGGCTTAGGGAACAAGAAGACAGAACGGAAAGAACAGATAAGCCATAGGAAGTAGTGAATGCTATGCAACTATTTCTTCCCAAATGACATATCCCCTAGAGGTGGTGGGGTGTGGTTTATATCCCCCATGAAGCCAAAGAAACAGGCTCTGGAAGCTCATTGATTCAGGAAGCTCATACATACAGTTACAGATTCATGAGGCCTCTTTCCAAGATGATACAAACTGGAAGCAACTGGTGATGAAGACTCTGGTGAAGTCCCTTTCAGACAGAACAGATTGAACTATGGGAGTTGTCCATCTGGGGTGAACTTTTTGGTGATGCCGGTAACTCTGTGCCTGTGAGTAGCCCCTTACTCAGGTTGTTATTAATAAACTCAATGGCTTATCAAATGATATGGGTAGAATACTTTCTTTGATCTGTCATTTATATCTTACCCAGTGTGGATATCTGTCCACACCTCTCCACAAATGACAAATGCAAGTACTACTGTAGTGTACTAGGGCCTTCTGGCTGTTCTAGAGTAAAAACAACTTAAACCTTTAACTGTTCTTTTCTAAACTGCTGCTCTACAACATTAAAGAATGCAACAATATGGTCCTTCCACTAGCCAAACTCTCACCATTACTTCAACTCTTCTATATACATATGTACATCCAGTCTTGCCACGTAATGGTAACATGGCTTTGGAATCTTGGGTATGTATCTCTACTCTTATAAGTCACATGGCACTATTTTTCTCTTAGCCTTAGCCTTGGTATGTGGTTAACAGTGCCTATCTTACATACTTATTTTATGGAGTAAATGAAATAATTTACAAATATCTTTTTCCATAGAACCCGACACAGGATAGATGCACAATATGGCTCATAATTTTCTGCTTCAAGCTCTTTTAGATTCTTTTGAGAAATCAAGGTTTAAATAATAAGTACATGTTCCATTTTATTTCTTCATAATTATGAAAGAAAAATTAGATCACAAGGAAAGGGTTGGTTTGTTTACTGTCTTCAACAAATGAAGCCCTAAACTCAACCCAAAAAGCAAACAGGCCTTGCTCTGGAGGCATTATAAACTGAGTGAAATGAGTTGTTGTACACAGATTAAACAGAACCTCGATGACAGGGTGGAACCAGCAAGGCCTCTACTTAACCAAAAGCAAAGACCCTTCTCTTTCTGCAGTTGGCAGGAGGTAATGTGGTTCATACCCAGTGAGTGTATGAGTGTATAGCTTAAGTCCTGTGAAAGCTCAACCCAGAAGGCAAAGCAAAGCAAAGCAAAGCAAAGCAATGCATTCCCTGCCTTCTGGCCTTCAAACATGTCATGATCAGTGTGCTTTGAACCATGCTGAAAAACTGGTTTGATTTTGGAAGTGTTTGGATGGGATCCAGAACTTTGCATATTAGGCAACTGCTCTACCACTGAACTATAGTCCTACTTTGAAAACTGTGAGTATTTTGCTTTGTTTTGTTTTTGTTTTTTTGTTTTTTGCAACTTTTCCTTCATTAAAGTCATATTAGCTCAAAGCTTATTACAACCGATTTTAAGAAATAGGATGAGGAATAGAAAAGGAGAAGACAGGAAGAAATGAGAGGAGAGGAGAGGTCAGTTAAGTAGTGGTTGGTACAGGAAGATCAGTATGGACAGAGGTTTAATTATCTTCTACTGTGAAATTTGATTGCCTTTATAGTCATCATTAAGGTTTAAGCTGGATGTAAAAATGTCATTGAGAATAAGGTAAATTGAAAATATAAAAACCATAGCAATAAAGTCTCTAGTAAAGTGTTTCTTTGTTCACACACACACACACACACACACATACACACAGCAATGGTAAAACAGTTCTGTCTTGAGAGACAAAGACTTAATTCCACACCCTGCTCTATCCTGTAAAGACGTGGCACCCTCGACTAGTTGTGTCAGCTCATTTTGAAGCAGATGGTTTTTCTGTCTTAAGGAAAAGTGGATCATCCTTTGAGAAGCTAACCAGCTTTTATGATGATAAGGAGGGGCTTCAGAAGGAACAAAACAAGTGGTTTGTTTATTGTTTGGTTCACAATGTATTAGTAAGGGATAATGAAAGAGATTTACTCAAGAACTGAAATAGGCTGGATTTAAATACATGTTTTAAGAGACAAGAATTGTGTATCTGGCCACTTTGACCATGTTCATGAACTTTCAAGATGGTGTGAAGCTTCCTACATTTAATGCATAGTACCCAGAACCAGTTATTGACCTAAATAATGTGGGTCAATCATTACACACAAATTTACACAAAATGCCACAAATTAATCTGAAGCTGAAAAAGTAAAGGACACCAATCTTGACATCCACCTGGAAGAAAACAGCATTTATTATTTGGCAGTCAAAGTTGAGCACTCACAATCAAGTCCCACAACAAACAGTCAATGACAATCTCACAACAGGGAAACTATCACTTAATGGGAATAGGATAACTTACAAGAATGTAGCCGGATCCCATGGGTGGATGTAGGTAACTCAGGACAGATTACCTGCTATGTCTGTACAATTAATACATCCTGCCTACTCACTACTGTATACTAGGTGACTTCCTTCTGGCTTGACCTGAGGCTTTCTTGCATATATGTGATGATAAAGGTTGTGATCTCTGTGGTTTGACCAAGAGGAGTCTGAGAGCAGAAGAAAACCCAGCAGCCATTCTTGGGTTTTCCTTGGTAAGCCGAGTCTGCTAAGCAAGATCATGTTGTTGGGTCTACCATTTTTCCAGGTGGGTTGTCGAAAAGAAGCTCAATACATATACGCCCCAATTTGGATACAAAAGCACTGAAATTAGTGGGTACCAGTGTTTCTTGGTAATGAGTCTTTCATGGGCACAGCTGAAGTATTCCGAAGTCTTAATGTAAAGTCTATCCTGTTTTACTGTTCAACAGAGACAGACCACGTTAATATCAGTGGAGAGAAGTACACAGAGTTGATTCAATCCATAAACATACACTGAGCCTCAATTTTACATCCCATACTAGTCCAGGTACTGAAGAGAAAGGGGAAGAAATGAAAGGCTATGACCTTGAACTTAACAAGCACTCAGGAAAAAGCAGGGACTTCAGCAATATTAGGAATTCACAGCATAACTTGAATATGTGTGTGATCTGAGTGGGAAGATCTGTATCAAGGGAATAAGAAAAATCAAGGGAGCTGGGCCTAAGCCTTTACTTGCAGCACCCGGAGACAGAGACAGACAGACCTCTTGTGAGTTCTAGGCCAGCCTAATCTATATAATGAACCTCTGTAAGGTGAGATCTGGAAAATTATATTGGCTCTCAAAGTGATCAATCCAGACCACATAGCACCACTTGAACCTCACGTGCAGGCTCTGGGCATGAAGGCCTGGCATTCTGTATTTGATAAGCATTTCATGTGTGCTACACTTGATACCCACTACATGGACAAAGGAAATAAGTTTGAGGCTTTATGCAGAAAGGATCAAACTTATTCAGTGATGCCCACATTCTGGCAAGAAGTCAGTAGAAGCAGAAAGTCTAGAACTGTTAGATGTCTCTATCCAGTTGCACAGCCACCTGTATATTCTGTAATGACAAGAGTCCCTCATAGTAATACAAATCTTGCAGTGCCCTTGAAATGAGTGTCTCCTGCAATTATACAGAGTGCAAACGGGTACATATATGGAGGCGAGAGGAGAAAAGATCAGTGTCTGATGGTGCTAGGATGAAAAACGGGTCCCGCTTTCCTCCAACTCTGTCTACTCTTCTATGTTAGGCAGTAATGGCGGAAAGTTACTCAAGACAGATGGCACATGCACTCCACTGTCAACCTACTTCTCCCAACAAGCCTTCCATGGCCAGCCACCCTGACGCCTCTTTGAAGTAGTTTTCTGGAACAAGGTCCATGGGGCTGCTTGGAAGAAAAGCTGCAGAGAGAGCTTTGTGACTTTCGCGTACCTTCTCCGGCTTTCCTCTACAGAGTATGGACAGAGAACAAATAGTATTTCTAAGGGTAGCCTGTCAGCAAAACCCTGTGTATGGTACTTCTGTCCAGGACCAAGGCAGCTCAAGATCAGCTGGGCCCATATGCCTCCCTTTGGGTAGTTCATCACAGAGAACAGACAGCCACGGCTCAAGTACGGCCACAGAAGAGAAACTAGCAAACTTTTCAGGCGGCTAAGACAAGTCCTGCAGCTGGAGCGGCCAGGCCACTGAACTGGCTGTTAGAGGTAGCAAGAGGAAAGGTCCAAGCGCAGACAGTAGCCTCTAGCTACAGGGAAGTTGCGAGTCAGGCACTAAGACAGGTGAGAGCCACAAGCTAGACCTTTTCCAAAGCCTGGCATGAGCACAGGTGATAAGATCGCCTGTGAAGGGGGCGGGGTTCGCCGGGAAGGAGGGAAGGGAAAGCCGGCCGAGATGGTTCTTGAGCAATGTGAGAGGCAGGGTGAAAAGACTGATGAGGGAGGGGGCATGGGTGTCAAGGGGCCTAGACCACTCCCCACTGGGTCCTGGTGCACGGGGAGTAGTTGGCATGGATGCAATCCGAGGGGCCACAGTGCGTGTCCGCAGGCCCCGGGAGGGGGCGGAAGGAGGTGGCTGGTCGGAGAAGAAGCCTGGAGTGCCACCCGTCTACGGACGTCCCGACTCCGGCCGCGGGGAGGTGACAGGGCCACACCGCCCAGGTCGTGGGGACCCCGCCGCCGCCCCTTCCCTAGGCAGCCGCTATCCCCTGGCGCCGGAGGGGCGGGGTCTACAGCCCCTCCCCACGCTCCCGCCCCGCCCGGCCCTCACTCCCCGCCCGCTGGGTGCCCGTTCGCCGGCCAGGTCCCCGACACTCACGTCTCCCGCGGCTCCCGCGGCTCCTCCCCTGCCCGGTGCTCCTCCACCCACTCCCGGCCGAAAGAGCGGAGCGGGATCCGAGTCGCGCGGGGCCCAGCGGGTCGGAACACGTGGGGCCTCCGCGCCCGGAACCGGAAGCGACCGCTCGCCCCGCCTCCGGGCCGTGCTGGAGCTCGTCTAGGCTGTCGGAGGTTTAGCCCACTCGTTATGTTTCTGCGGGTTGAGGCCTGGGCTCTAGAGAGACCCTTGCGGGGGGGAGGGGGGGAGAAAGCCTCCCCTGCACCGCATCCCTCCATGCCTAGTCCCATTTGCCACAATTCAACCAACTCCCCGGGTCTGGGATTCATTGCCTGCCTCCTACAGGGTTTTGTTTTCCTCTTTCATGTTGGTTATGGTATCTACACCTCTACGAGGGAACCCCCTCCTTCCCACGCAGTTTTTTTTTTTCCCGTCAAGCGTGGAAAAACAAAATAGAAAGCTTTGAGTTTGAATGCTGGCTCTTGCATGCACAGTCAGCTGTTGCTGCACCGCTGGCACATCCGCCTGTCAACCCTGAACCCTGTCCATCTCGTAAAAAAAAGGCAGACTAATACTGTTGGTCTTAGAAATAATAGTTGGAAGCTCAGTGAGAAGATGGTGGTGTTCTCTTTTTGCCCCCGTGTGTTATTTTGGTGCCTTACGACTTTCTTCCCTGACCCAAATTCTTAACATTTGTCTGTGCCACTGACGTTTCTATAGTCAGTTTTGCCCTGTGTGTCACTTGGTAATATGCGCTGGCCTTCTCTTGGCAACTGCGTCTTGAGAAAACCATTTCGGCCATGGGACAAATTAGTGTTGATTGGTTAACACACTTTGAACTGGAGATGTTAACCGCTTTTGCTGGAGAGGCCGGTAGGGTTCTGCAGACGGGATGAAATTGATGTTATAGTACCCTTGACCAGGGCTTTGTTGAGGCCACCAAAAGGAAAACTTTTCTTTCTGATCAAAAGAATGGAATCTCCCTCTGGCCTGGGTGTAGACCTAACATTTCAGGCTAACGTGAGAGTTAATCATCTGACTAGGAGATTACCCCCTCCAGAATGCAGGTTCACCTAAGACCATTGTAAAAGAAATGGGAGTTGGGAAAGTTATCCCTTTAATGGGATAATGTACTTTCCCCCCCCTTCCCCAAACCTGAACTTTTCAGTTCAGACCGAAACACTTCCAGGGCTGTTCAGGTCTATCTGCCCTTCCGAGTCCTGACTCACATTTAATTTTTTCTTTCTCTCCTCTATCTCTTTCTTAGGACACTGGCCAGAGCCAAAGTATGCTTTTTCTGTTACTTTGGAACCTTTCCATCTTTTTCTGAAGTACCCTCCCTACCCCACACCACGTGACTGCTTGCAAACGACAGTTTTTCCCTCTTCCTCTTGTCCATCTCCCTTCTCTAGGTAGGTGCCGAAATTTACAGCTTGCTTGCTCTGGGGGTTTTCTTTTTTAAAGTCTAATGAAATTGTTTTTGAGTTTTCTTCCTAGTCCATTCTTAAATTCTACTGTTAGTGAGGCTTGCGCACCAACTCTTGGAATCGTGGAGCCTGAGGCAGTGGCAGGATCAGTGTGGATTGCAGAATGGGGAACTGAGAGAGTTCAGTCTGAGAACAGGTGAGGGAAGGTAGGGTGTCGCTGTGCACTGTCTCCATCAACAGGTGGGAGAATCAGGTGCTCTGATATATCGGGATGAAATGGATGTCTTAGCTCAAAATGAAGAGTATTTCTGCCTTTTTCTTCTATTCAATGAATTGACTGAGACCCACCGATCCAAGTGCTGATATCTTCTACTCTCATACGCTTGGCAAGTATGTGTAAGGGACACACAGATGCCTTCCCAGCTGTTTGGGCATCTTTTGGTCTGGTGAACTAGACATAGACTTTTCTTCTGTTACATTTGCTCTTCTCTTCCTTTTTTTAGTTACTTTATTCTTTGGAGACTGTTAAAACATGGCCCTATTTTCTTATTTAAGGTGATTTCAACTATTGTCTAAATGGCTTTGGGTAAAATTTGTTGACTTCTATAGGAGGCCTTACCCCTTCTGAATAGAAGGAGGAGTGGATGAGGAGGGGTAGAAGAAAGGGGGGGAGGGAATGAAAGGAGAGGAGGTAGGGGAAACTGTGATTGGCATGTAAAATAAATAAACAAATATGAGTTTTATTGGGCCTTAAATGATAGTCTTCACTGTTGGCAAAGGGCATATGTAATACTCACTACCACAAACTGACTCACCCATATCATCATCAGAGTACTCACAGACATCTTGCCCAAGTGTATGCTTGCTTCTATAGACTCCAATGCTAATCTGCAGGTAAGCCTTTGAAGTCATGAAATTCATAGGAGTGGGATTTTCCAATAAGGCCCCCAGTTATGTTATCTCTGAGATATCTGTTGTTTGTGCCTGATCTCCTGAGAATAAATTCTAGAAACTGGAATAATCCACAAAACAAAAATCATTACTTTTTACACGATAGCCTCAATTTTTTGTACTTCCTGGGAATGACCCCTTTAGACTTACCTAAAATTGTGTATTATGTCGAGGTGGAGGGGGCCTTATTAACATGTGAACAAGTAGAAAGCAGGTTCATTTCAGACATTTCTGGAAGCCCATCAGCATTGACTCTAGTGTGTTTCTTTTATGGTAAAGCAATGGAGCTGAGAAAATGAGGTATGGGTTGCCGTGTGCTTGAGACAACAAGATAGTTATTGATAGAGTGCCTCAGTAGTAAACAGGATTCCTATGAGATTACAGTTGACTTTTCTCAGCCTTATGGGTCAGAAGGGAATGTCTGTAGAGACAGTCTCCAAAGATAGCTTCTCTCCCTGGGCCAACACTTTCAGGAAGGAGAGATGTTGTAGCCCCCTATAGTTGTAGCTTTTCCTCATCCCTGAGCCCCTTACCCAGCTCCTATAAAGGGTAGACGCCAGCTTTGTTCCTTGCAGATCTCTAAATTTCCCTTGGTAGAGAGGCTGCCTCTCACTGTGAGCATTAATAAACACACCCCATGCCTGTTGAAGGTCAGACTCCTTCCCTTTCCCACCTTCTGTCTCTTTATGATGATTCAGAAATCCCAGTTATCAATAAAAGAGGAAAGCAGGATTCTCTACACACATCTAAACTCACCAACATTTGTTTCTGACTTTGTTCTTTTCACCTTTGTAATTAAGAAAGTCCTGAGTTCTGCCTCTTGCATTTTAGGAAATCATAAGACATTTTTTTGATGAAACTTTAGATGACTTTTCCCCCTTAAGGAGAAATCCCAGTTAATTTATATATAATAAATATAAGTTCATTTTATATAATTTAATGGAGGTCATCATATCTCTGTCTTTTTTCATATCTGTGTCTTGGGATAATACTGTACTCAAACTTCTGGTATATAGGGGCAGACTTTTATTTTACTTTACTTAAATAACATTTTTTCATCTATTTTACAAACCAACGACAGATTTCCCTCCCTTCTCTCCTTCCCACGTCTCCTGCTTCTTCCCATCCACTCCTCCTTAGTCTTCATTCAGAAATGGGCAGGCCTCCCATGGCTCGAACAAAGCATGACACACCACGATGAGGGAGGCAGGACCTATGTAATCCAGCATGGTTCCCAAAAGCCAGCTAAGTGCCAGGGACAGTTCCTGGTCTCACCGCTAGGAGTCTTACAAAGAGACCAAGATACACAACTGTTACACACTAGCAGAGGGCCTAGGTCGGTCATGAGGGCGGAGGGGGGGTTGCCAAACTTTTCTACAAGTTTGCTTCACTCTCAGTCCTGTGTTAATATCTGCATTAGGCTCATTTTGATATATTGCTGGTTTTACTTTGCATGGTGAGCTTTTGAACAAGTCATGGCTTTCCCCAGGGCCCCTTTCACCTCCTTGTTTCTAATGGTGTAAATAAAGGGGTTAAGAAGGGGTGTAAGTATGGTATTTAGCACGGACACCACCTTATTAATCTTAAAGGAGGAGTGTGCTGTGGGTCTCAGGTACATGAACAAGACAGCGCCATAGAGCAGAGAGACAACTGTCAGGTGAGAAGCACAGGTAGAAAAAGCCTTTTGGCGGCCAGTGGCTGAAGGAATCCGTAGGATGGTGGATAAGATGTAGATGTAGGAAATGATGGTGAAGAGGAGTGATCCTGGGATCACAAGGATGGTTGCCAGGAGACCCATTAGTTCCAAAATGCTGGTGTCTGCACAGGCAGCTTTTAGGATGGGACCCACATCACAGTAGAAATGGTTGATGACATTGTTGCCACAGAATGGCAGCTGGATGAGCAGCATTGTCTGGCAAAAGACAATGGTGAAGCCTGCTAGCCAGGAGCTAAGGGCCAGCTGCATGCAGAGGGTGCTGGTCATAATGGTGGGGTAACGGAGGGGCTTACAGATGGCCAAGTAGCGATCAAACGACATGGTGCCCAGAATCAAGAACTCAGTGGTACCCAGGAAGAAGTGAAAGAAAGCCTGCAGCAGACAGCAGGTGGTGCAGATGACTGTTCTTGATACCACAAAAGTTTCCAGCAATTTGGGAATGACAGTGGTGGTATACCAGATCTCTAGGAAGGCTAAGTTGCAGAGGAAGAAGTACATTGGAGTTTGAAGCCTGGGCTCAACCCACACGATGAAAATAATGAGTCCATTGCCTGAAAGGGTTAATATGTAGATGAGAAAGATCACTATGAAGAGAAGGGCTTGGAGGCCTTGGATGCCTGGAAAACCTAGGAGGATGAACTCTGTGATTGCAGAGCCATTTCTCATGGCCTTCGATCTCCTAAGAAGACAGCAAGGATGGAGTTCTCAGAATCATTAATAATAATAATAATAATAATAATGATTTAGTGGGGTGTTCACCTTTATAGCTTACGTTTTAGATGCATCTTTTATGATGAAGAGAAAATTGGGTTTTTAAAATAGTTTGCTATTTACTGCTATTCATTTACTAATTTATTCATCCATTCAGTGGTGCTGGTAATGTAATCCAGGACTTTGTGCATGCTAAGCAAACCCTCTACTACTGAGCCACAGTTCCCTAGACTTGAGACAAGGAGATTTAGAATGACAATATAAAAGGTTGTATCTATGCTCCTTCAGGTCATAGCT